TTTTTCATTTGGGCCCTGGGCCGTAGCCCAGGCTGCCCTGGGCTTGGGTCGGCTCTGTAAAAAATGCTATATAGCCATCAAGCCAGATATGTGTAAAGCGTTTGACATGGTAGAATAGGACAGTGTAAGACTCATTACGTTGAAATTGGGTTTCAATCCTCTATTTGTGAAGTGGATTATGCAATGTATCACTTCACCTCTTTTTCTTTTAATATAAATGGTGAAGCTGCAGGATTTTTGAAGCCATCAAGAGCACTAAGGCAGGGTGACCCACTGTCACCTTACTTGTTTATCTTGATATCTGAAATATTTTCTCACCTGATCAAAACTGAAGTAGATAGAGGTCATCTTCAAGAGATTAAAATGAATAAGCATTGCCTTACCCTAACACATCTTTTTTTTTTTTTTTTTGCTGATGATACATTGTTATTTGCCCAGCAGATGCTCAGCAAGCCAATAATCTGTTGCACATCTTACACTGTGACCAATATCTGACAGGGTAAACTGTTAATTTGCCAATATCCTCCATTTTTTTAGTAAAAATACCTTTACAGCTCTCCAAGATCAAATTTGCCATATCCTCATGGGCATTACCCCTCAGACAAGCTCCAAATATCTAGGCTTACCCCTTGGTATTGGTATTTCCAAGAACAACACATTTGCATTTATGGAGGAGGCAGCGTGTAAAAGAATATCAAATTGGAAAAACAATCAACTTTGTCATGCAGGTAAACAAATGCTTCTGAAATAAGTCATTGGAGCCCTACCAACATATACTATGTCATGCTTCCTACTGCCTCATTCAGTTACTAAGAAGTTATCCCCTCATATGGCTAAGTTTTTGTGGCAATCAGGCAAAGAAAGCTCCAAAGGAATCCATTGGAAGTCCTGGGAATTGACAGCTCTGCCAACTCAGATGGGAGGTGTGGGGTTCCATGACATGCATATCTTTAACAAAGCCTTAATTCTGAAACAACTGTAAAGACTTCAATCTAGCCAGAGCTGCTTGTTATCAAAATATTAAAGGGCAGATACTTCCCAACTGAGTGCCTGTATAAAGCTCCAAAGAAGCAGAATTGTTCATGGTTATGGACAAGTTGGTGGAAGGTTAAAGAAGAGTTCTTTAGAGGAATGTCTTGGAAGATTGGGAATGGCCAGTTGATAAGATAGTGGGAACAGTCTTGGGTTCTAAAATTGAAAGGACAGACTCTCACAGGAAAGCATCCTAGAAATCCATCACTAACATGGGTTAAGGACCTCATAGATGAATCAGGAAGAAGATGGAAGTAAGATCTAGTTGAGTAGGCATTTCTCCCAAATGGAGCTGCAGCAATCCTAGACATCAAAAACTTGGATTCTACAAAACCAAACACTCCAGTGTGGACATGGAATTCAAACGGGACATTCACAGTTGCATCTACATACAAGAAGCTGATTGAGACAAAATAGAGGAGGATGAATACTGTAGAATCAAGTCAGAACCACAAAGAGATGAAGGTTGCAAGGAAAAGAACATGGAACCTCAAAATCGAGAGGAAGATGAGGCATTTTCTGTGGAAAGGTACTCACAATATACTCCATGTCTTGGCTAATCTTCAACACAGAAGAATTCCATTGGACCAAAAGGTGTAAGTTTTGCGGGGAAAGTGAGGAAACCCAGAAGCACTTATTCTTTCATTGTAGTCGAGCAAGAATGATTTGGAAGCCGACACCAATTTCTGGGATGGACTCCACTCCTGTACCACCTCATTCAAGCATTGGTGGATTAAACTGTGGCATTCATAAAGACTCAATCACTGAAGACAGAGTCAAACTCACTAGCCACATTCTTTGGTGCATGTGGAAGACGAAGAATCTTTGGGTAATTTACATAATTGTAGTAGTTATTTACATATTGAATAAATCAGTCGGATTTACACAATTTGCGTAATTAATTTATATTAAAAATGAATTTCACAAAATAATTAAACAAAAAATATAAAACAATTATTAAATAATAAATTATACAATTTAGTTAGAATTTTTTTACCAAATCAAATTATTGGTATTGCAGTCGAAATTTACATATTTGAGAAAATCAACCAATTCACATGATTTGAGTAACTAAGTTATCTTAAAAATGAAGTTACCATAAGTGATTATAAAAAAATATACCATAAATTTTTAATTAATTTGAGCAAATTAAGGTATCTTAAAAATGAAATTTTATATGGCTTAATCAATTTCTTAAATAATGAGTCATTAAATAATGAGCCACAATTTCTATAAATGATTATTTGAAATATACTATAAATTGTTAAATTAATTTCCCGAAATAGTAAATTAGATTTTTTTGGAGGGAAATAGTTATTATTTAAAAAATAATCAAATATTTATATATATATATATATATATATTTAGTATTAAGAAATTAAATGAAATATAACAATAATTTAATGTGATGATACCCAATTTGGCTACGATTAATAAAAATACCACACATTAAAATATCATTCTTATTCCACATTAATTGATGTCCATATATTATGATATGTATATGTACTTGAAAGATCTTATCCAAAATGAGAGGATCAAAGAGGATCCAAGAGGATCCAAGATGATCTTATCTTATAAAAAGGATTCGTAAGAGAAAAAAAAAATAGAGACATTCTTTTCTCAAAGGCATTATCAATAATGACAAACTTCATCTTCATCTTTGAGTTTCTTGCTTTTCGGACAATTTATTCATATGTTTTCCTCAAAGAAAGTCATGAATAGAGCATATATTCAAACCATATTTCTAGAGCAAATCTATTCGTGCAAATTGAACGGAGTATACAATTTAGTATATGGTTCACCCTCTGTTGCTGCTGATATTTTCGAGCATCAACATAATGTTCTATAGAATAATTATTTACCTTTTGTTTTATTGAAACTTTGATTGTCAATCAAAAAGTTTCAAGCATAAAAAATTGTGTTATTATGTTTTCATTAAATTTTAAAATTACAAAATATGTGAATTATAATTTTTAAATATTTATAAAAAAATACTAAATTATTTATAAATATTCTTATTAGTAATTTTAAAATACTATCAGCTAATAAAAAATATTCTTATTTTGTAATTTTAAAATTACAAAATATTCTTATTAGTAATTTTTATATACTATCAGCTAATAATAAATAACTAATTTTACCAAATATTTTTTACAAACAACTTATACATTCTAGTGGTTAAAGCATCTATTACTATCAACTGGTAAAATCGAGCTATTTTCCAAGTAGAACAGACGCCAACAAACATTGTTTGAATAAGATATAAGTAAAATTATGTAATTTATATTATAATAAATTGAAAAATATTTAGGATCCAAAAAAAAATGAATTCAATAGTATGGTGTAAGAACGAGTTAAATGTGTTGTCGAAAAAAACAAGTGAAATATATATGATATATAATTGTACAAGTGAAAATTGAAATTAATTAATACTATTCAAATTTGATCTACAAAATTAAGTTCTTTCGTATATATTATACATACTAGTACAACGCCCGTGTATTACACGGGTGCTTGCTTAATTTTTCTTTAAAATTTAAAATTAATGAGAAAAAGTAGTTGAAAATTTAAATATCTTTTATTAAAATATATATTATTATATATTTACTATGACACTTTTTATTTGTGTGACTTACTTGTGTTATATTATATTAATTTTTTTAACTTACGACATATAACTACATTAAACACAAAAATATATCAATTGAGAAATAGTTTTATTTTTCTAATAAATTTTAGTAAATATTATTATTTTGTATTATTATAAAGATAAATATAATTTATTTATTTTATATATCCAATATGGATGTCAAATCGAAGATCATGAAAAGATGATTAATTTGATATATTATATAAGTAAAACCGATAAGAAGTACAAAAGTTATCAACCTTTAAAATACATTTATTATAATTCAATAGTAATTGAAGGAAACAAATCAAAAGTCAGGGATATATTAGTCACTTAATACCTCACTATATAAAATTACAAAGAATTAAAGGGTTATATTAGTACAAGTAATATTAAAATACCTAAGTTAGTTAAATAATATTTATGGAATGTCCGAACCTAGAATATTAATTATTAATATATTAATATTATTTGTCCAAACCTAATTACGAAGCATGATTCTTCGCCAAGTAGGATTCTGAAGCACCAGAAGCAGCCACATAGGCTCAGCGCATTCGAAAATTATATATAGGGGGATTTAGTAAATTATATTTATTATTATTACTTGAGTAATTATATATTTACTCACACAACTTATTTTATTCAATTTATTAATATCAATTAAATAATTTTACCAAACATTTCAGAACAATCCGTTAATGTAGTTTGCCCGTCAAAACAGCCAATACAATCCTCTGATCAAAACAGCTGATATAATTCACTAGCAGCTAACCGCTAACCGTTGTTTTGCCAAACAAGGCCTTTGTGTGGAGTGTAAAATATTCATTCCTATAGTTTAAAATGCATGGACCCTATCAGCTATCAGACCTTCATTTTTTTTTTTAAAGAGTATAAAGTATTTATTCTTTTAAATAACAATATTATACCATGGAAATATGTAATTATTTATTTTAAATTTTTTATTAAGTTACTTAACTCTTCATTTCAAATCAAAAGGCAGAAAAATTATATTTTTATTATTATATTATTATTACTTAATTTTTAATTTATTTATATATGTAAATAAATTATAATTTAAGGTGATTATTATTATAACCTAAATATATATATTAAAATGAAAAATATATTAAAATGTATTACAAATAGTTTTATATTTTAAGAGCTAACAACAATCTAATGTTATCAAACATAATTTTATAAACCGCTAATACAATCAGCTGGTCAAAACAGCTAACACTATTAGCTGGCCGTTAAAACAATTAACACAATTTGTTAACCGCTAACAGCTAATAGCTTATTGCCAAAAAGGTCATATTCTTTCCAACATAATCAAATATTTAAAACTTATACACCATTAGCTAAATTCACAAATTTTATTATATAACACAGTAATTAATCACTAAATAATTCAGTTAACCTATAATAAAAGAAAATATCAAATCATGTTATGTATTAAATATGCAAGGTCCAATACAATCTGTTCACATGCTTACACTGTCCAAGTACAGGTAACGTAAATAAAATATTCCCCAATATGTTCCCTAATCGGCAAAAATTCAATTTTGTTCCTCAAAATTGGCCAGTTTTAGTTTTAGTACACCAATTTCTCTTCGTAAAAATTAGTCTACTATGTTACAAATTCGTCAATTTTAGTACAGTAATCTCAAGGAGTTAATGGATATGACTTTGAGATGGAAAAATTACAATTTTTCACGTCATCATGTAATCTGTCTCCTCGAAATTATTGTACTAAAATTGACAAAAAATATAACATAGAACTATTTTTTACGAGGAAAAAAGTTAGTGTACTATAACAACAACAAGACCATTCCTAATAAATTCCGTTTGCCAAAGAAAATGATTTGAAAATGAATAAAATACATAAAATATGCATTCCTAATAAATTTTCTTTGCCAAAGAAAATGGTAATGAAAATGAATTAAATTACACAAAATATGCATTATGTTCTCCTGAAAGTCTCGTTAGCGTCAACAAGCAGCAGCGGCAGCTAATCCAGCGAGAAGACAAAAAGGGGAAAAAAAAATAAAAAAAAACAAGAAGAACAGAGAAATAAAGGGTTCTGTTCTAAACCATTTCTCTTCGTTTTCTACTACAAATTGTTTGCTTATCATAACATCTGATTTGTTTGGCGTACGCAGCTAACATTTCGTTCTTTTTGTCCTTGTGGGCTTTCATTTTTCCGTTCTCTATTGAATTTTCTCACCAGATCTGAGTCTTGTTCGATGGCTTCGAAGCGGATCTTGAAGGAGCTGAAGGATTTGCAGAAAGACCCTCCTACTTCTTGCAGTGCTGGTGATTATTTGTGCCCCTTTGAATTTTTGTTATTTTTTTTTTTTTTAAATTTTGATGTGCTGTTTGAGTTATGTTAGGGTCTGATCTGTGATTTGATGGTGTTTGTGGGATGAGAAATGAAAAAAAGAAGACACTTTTTCATGTGGGCTTTCATGATTATGTTGCTTTTTACCCCCTTTGATAATGATAACTTTGATCTTGCTAAGATGCAATATTGTCTGTGAAAATTTGTCTCGGCATATCAGTGATTTGTATCAGGGAATAATATGTGTGTGTAGATGACGTTTTTAATGTGAAATTGTTCGAGATGTTGTTTTGACGAATATTGAGCCTTGAAAAATGATGTCTTGACTCGTTAAGTTTGGGACTGTACATGTTGAGTAAGCAGTAGATCATTTTTTGGACCCTTTCCTCTTTCTCTCGGGTAAAATGATTACGGACGGTTATTTTGACCCGTTTTAACCATTTGTTGTCTGTAGCCAGCCCGAAAATGGGTATGTAGGTGGTCAATGTTTGATGAGTGGTAATAAGGAAGAGGAGTAAGAAATGATTGTGAAGAGGTTTTCAGTAACATATAGAAGGTGGTTCATTTGTTGCATTGTGATTAGATATTTGATATCTGCTTCAACTATATCCACCTCATGATCCCACCTTATTATGTTGTTTTTCATGTTTCACTTTCCTATTCGACTTTTGTTGAATCAGTGATGTTTGTTTATGTTTTATAAGATAATACTTTATTGCTTATTATCTGCATTGTAGCTTAGGTGTTGCCGTTTCAGAGTTGCTGTGTGACCACTAACTTTGATGTCTTGTTGTTATGGCATTGGTTGATCTGATTTTCTTTGTTGAAGTGTCGTAATACTATGACTATATGACATGTTTTGTAGTTGTTGCCCTGCATGTCCGAATTCTGATAACTATGGCACAGATTCTTAATCTTGCTTGTGAAAAGCATATAAATCTGTCAGAGTTTTTATTTTTTCATAGTTCCAGATCAACATATTACGTTTTCTATATGTTTCTTTTGTATATGCCTATTCGCGCTACAACTGTTATATCACTCGGTAAATTTTCTAGTTTCAGTTCTTATTACATTCAGGGATATAATAAGTTCTGTAAGACTGAAACATATATATTTATTTATTTTTAAAGAAGACTGTGAGTGTTTTCTTTCCCAATTCCTTCTCACCTCTTTTGGGTTTTATATGTGTTCTGAATCACGAGACATGCCCAGCGCCATGGACAGGCTTTGGAGTCACAGCGTGATGTGCTGTCGAGGCTTTTACTGAATTGTGCTGTTTTTATATAGTAATAGTCCACACGGAATTTGTTTGAATCGATAATCTTACATGCAGCTTTAGTCGTTATTAAAAGAAGTACCCAATTGATCAATTATCTCAGTTTCTTATTATTTGTTGTCCTTAAGTGGAAATCATTATGTGTTCATGCTCTTTTGTGTTAACAGGACCCGTTGGTGAGGACATGTTCCACTGGCAAGCAACAATAATGGGCCCACAAGATAGTCCTTATGCCGGAGGGGTGTTTTTAGTCACGATTCATTTCCCCCCTGATTACCCGTTCAAACCTCCAAAGGTAAATATCTTAGAACTGTTTTTCCTAATTGATATAAATATAGTTGTAGGATATTTGTTAATTGTCTCGTTTGTAGATCTATAACAGATTTTTTTTTTTTTTTCCCTTCTATGCATCATCTGTTCTAATGTAGCGTTTAAAGTAATTGGTCAAGTAATCTGAGAGAGTGAGTATTGACAAACATATTTCACAAAATGGTTTTCATATATTAGAATAATGCTCTTGGCTTTGCAGGTAGCTTTCAGGACTAAAGTTTTTCACCCCAACATTAACAGCAATGGTAGCATTTGCCTTGACATCTTGAAAGAGCAGTGGAGCCCGGCCTTAACAATCTCCAAGGTTAACCTTTCTTTTCCTTCCTTTTTTTTTGGGTATTACTGAAACATTTTTTTTGGTGTTTTCTTATCACTTAATCTGTCCCTTGTTCTCGATTACTGCATGCACGTATTGGTTATAATGACTACATGAAGATAAAAATGTGCTCGATTTTCTTGCTGATCAATATGATGCATTATCCTTTTATATTCCTAGTTAAATATGATGTAAAATCAAATGGGGGCCCAAAGTTACATACTATTTCTGATTGAAGGCCGCTTACTCAAGATCGTTTATGAACCCAACTGTCTGGATTCAATCAGTGATCACATCTTCAGCAACTCTTTATTTTCTTTTTTTTTTCCCTTATAAACAATATACACTTAAAAGCATAAATGGATGTTGGACAGAGTAATTTTCAATTGGGGTTTTACAAAACAAACCCGCGATTACCTAGTTATCTCAAGCACAAACCTTTGTATTTGTTTCAACTTTACAAATTGTACCTTCAATGGAGGCGATTAATTTGCTAAGCAGATATAATCCTCAAGGAGCTGCTTGTGAATTGTGATACCTTAGTCTATTTTATAATATGTGAGAGATATTTCTTCTTTTTCCAATTATTTAAGCTACTTCTAAAAGGTTGGTCCTTTTTGTGATTGTTCTTTAGATATGACCATCGCCTCTGCTTACTATGATTGCGTGCACGATGCTTGTGTCATTATTTTTGCTCTGCAGCGTTTTTCTCATGTTTCTGCATAATTATGATTGATAATATTTTTAGGTGTTGCTCTCGATTTGCTCACTGTTGACGGACCCGAACCCGGATGATCCATTGGTGCCGGAAATCGCACATATGTACAAGACGGACAGGGCAAAGTACGAGCAGACCGCGAGGAGCTGGACCCAAAAGTATGCTATGGGCTAGCATGAATATGCCGTCCCGGTTTGGACTGCATTGTGTATAAAATTATGTGTCTGTTTTTTTCTCTGTTTCTATTGCTGGATAACTGTTAACAAAGAGTTCTCTCTGTTTTATTTGTGGACAAATATGTAAGAAAGAGCTGGAAATTCACTAGATATTCATTCCTTCTGGTTTGAACTGATTGCTCCACATGGAATGATCTATGAGAAAGACTGGATTGTGTTTTATTTGTCTTTTTAGTTTTATATATAATCTTGATGCCTAGCCTGCACTTGGTTTGTAGATCTTATTCTGTTGTAATTTTGTGGCCTTTTCAAGCATTAAAATGGTGTGACATTTGTCTCCTAGGAAGTTGAAATGTGCATAAATATTTGTTTAGTATAAATAGCACAGATGAATTATATAAAGGGAAATTGATTTTGTAATTATCCCACTCCAGCTCATGAATGTCTAGAATCAAGATTTATGAAGTAAAACTGATTTTTTTAATAAAATTGTGAATACATTTGAGTTGTACAAAAAATTTAAACAACGAAATTTTTAATAAAATTGTGAATACATTTAAGTTGTACAAAAAAATTTAAACAACGAAATTTAATCTTTTTGAATAGAAGATTTTATTTTGAAATTTCAAGTATTTTACAAAAAAAATTATTACTATTTTTATATAAAATGACACTTGTAAGGTTCGTTTATCTACCTGGTAATTGTAACGGTTATAAATATATTAATGGACAATGCTACACGTACCGCAGCTTGTACCGCAAGGTTTACACTTTGGTTAAAAAACGTATTCTCAGAATACGTTTTTCAAATAATTTAATTGAAAAACGTATTCTCAGAATACGTTTTCAATGAAGGGTACACCATGCGGTACAACCCCTGCGGTACAAATAGCATTTTCCATATATTAATATAGAGATATTGCTAAAATACAAAATTGTAATTGTAACGGTTATATAAATTGATTGGATCTTCTTTATCGGAATCTTGTAAAGAAAGGAATCGAGCCTGCATCTCCGCAAATATATAGATTCCTTCAATCAAAGTAATGAACTCGATACACCACGAAAGAAAGAAGAGAAAAAAGACAGCATAAAATCTTTCCACAAAGAATAATTCATCGCCTCTAAAGTCCACTTAGCTATATTATGAGTAACCACATTATTTGTTCTATCAACATGACTATAGACACCACAATTCAAGGACAACAAAAGCTCGATAATATCCTCAAAAACATGCTGCAACAGGTTATTTGGGTCAGAAATAACGCAAATAACTGAAAGAGCACAATCTTGGTAGCTTGGATAGAGAATCCCGAGTCCAGGGTAAATCGAAGTCCGAAACATAGGGCCAAAGCTTCAGCACATGTCGGGGATTATAAATATATTAATATAGGGATATTGCTAAAATACAAAATTGGGTATGAAGTAGATAGATTAGGGCATGCTTACCAAATAATTTACTCATATTTAATTCATACTCAAAATCGTACTCAACTTTAACTCAAACTAACTATCCTTAATATTATTCATATAATTAATAAATATAAACCAGTAATTCTCACACATCACGTCAACTTCATTTCACTATTCATCAACTCACATAATTTTAATTACATCTCGTTTCTAATCATATATCTCTTACTTTTACATCAAATCAGTATTAATCATTTTATTTTAATACATTCTTAAAATCTCACTAACAACTAATCATACCACAATTTTCAAAATTAACGCTCGTTAACCAAGATAACTCATTTTGAATGGATTATTTGGTAAATAAGATTTTTTTTTTTGGCCGAAACGATAGAGATAGTATAAAAAAAAAACGCACAACAGTGCAAAGCAGCCCAAGGCTGAATATTACAACCCAGAACTAAAAACTGAGAGGACGGATCGGAAGACCGCCTAGAGCCTCGCTAGCCAAGCTAGAATATAAAACACACAACACACAAAACAAAACACAGACACCCCAACTACGAGCGCTCCCCACAGGAAAATTGAAACGCCCCTCACAGGGGAATCAGAACTGGGGCCAACAGCCCAAACCTAAAAATAAGATTTATATTTTCTTCTCTTGTAAATCTTATAAAAGGGAAGACACCAATGAATTAAAGATTCATTTTTCTACTTCTCTATCTCGTCCCCTCTACTGCTTTTATATATTTCTTATGTTTGGTTTGCAAATGATGAATGCTTGGAGAAGATTGAAGATTTCTATTTACAACACGTTATTAGCACGCTCTAACCTTTTTTTT